TTATTTATTTATTTATTTGAGAGAGAAAGAGAGAGTGAGCAACCATGAGAGGGGGGAGGGTCAGAGGGAGAAGAAGACTCCCTACTGAGCAGGGAGCCAGATGTGGGACTCGATCTGGGACTCTAGGATCATGACCTGAGCTGAAGGCAGCCGCTCAACCAACTGAGCCACCCAGGCACCCAAGATTTTATTTTTAAGTACTCTCTACATCCAGTGTGGGGCTTGAACTCACAACCCTGAGATCAAGAGTTGCATGTTCCATTGACTGAGCCAGCCAGGCACCTCATACTATCAAAATTATTCTTGAATACCTTCATTTACTCCCTTGAAAGAGTATGCATTCTCTCTTTATACATATGTATGTATGATTTGTAATGTATATAATAACTGGCAGTATAAAATAAAATTTATATAGCATGATAAATAAAATGTGTGCAAAATGGGTTTTTTTGTTTTGTTTTATTTTTGTCAGAGAGTGCACATGCACACAAGCAGGGGGAGTGGCAGGCAGAGGGAGAAGCAGGCTCCCCACTAAGCAAGGTCCCAATGCGGGACTCAGTCCCAGGACCCTGGGATCATGACCCTAGCTGAAGGCAGACACTTAACCAACTGAGCCACCCAGGCATCCCCAAAATGTAGTTTAATATTGGTTTGACTGCTACATAATAATACTAATAGTAGAGTCACAGTTACTCTAGGATAATGTGAAGAATTGAATTCACATAAATTTAATGTGCCAGGGACCTAACACAGGAAGAGACAGAACTCCTCCTCTTCCCTAAATGGCTTGCTTTCTAAGGAAACATTTCTGGGGTGCTGTCATCAAGGGAGAATAAAGATGAGATGAGGAGAATGCATTCACAACTGTCCCCTTATTTCATTCAAAGCCATTCTTCTTTGATGTTGTCATTAATATTTTGAGAAAGAGGAAAGGGATCTCACTAATTTGGTTAGCACTCATGGGTATCTTTGTAATTCTCTCATTTATGCTGTTCGTGCCTCTCTCCTTCTGCTTCTGTAGTTATGTGAAGAACTATTTGAGAAAATCAATGACAACTGTAATGAAGAAATGTCTTACTCTGTAGAGGTGAGTACAACCGTGGGTTAAAGCCATAGGCCTCTGGACTCCATTCCCTCCAGTGTTACTTTTCAGTGGTCCCAAATGATGACTATAGAGCACTTAACTACTCCCCCAATTTTGTATTCTTAGACTATTTCTAAGTTTTGTTCATCATCAATAATGTTGCAGTTAAATAAGTCAGAAGCTTGTTCATAAGCTTTATTTTTAGTTACTTCCTTTATGTATCAGGTTGTCAAACAATACATGTGAATTGCCAAATGGCTTTTTAGAAAGAAACACTGTACCAATTTTCAGTCCCATCAAGAGGGTGTGAGCACCCATTGTGTCCTTGCCAACTTTTAATATTTTTGTTTTTTCTCTGCCAACTTGATAAGGGCACTCTTTTTCACTTATTTAAATTAAAGTTTTTTTGATAATTAGTGTAATTGAACATCTTGTAAATTATGCATATGCCTGTTTATATTTTGGGATTGCAGTGTTTATCTTAATCATTTGTGTGAACTCTTTCCCCCTTTCATATTTATTAATAGTGATTTTTGACATGGTTTTTAAAATCTATATAATCAGATCTCTTCTCCTCTTCCTCCTTTATAATTGCTTATAATCTTAGACAGTTATTCTTCATCCAGTGTATACTCCAGCTCTTTGAAGAGGAGTTTTATAGAATTATATTATATATATTAATATAGTTGATAAACATTTCTACTCATTGATATGTGCTTTTTGAGGCTGTTGTTTCACTTATCTCCAGTTTTGGTACTCAGTTCTATAGAAACTGAAATTACTAAAGCGTTCTGTTAACATGAGCCTGTTGTTCTGAGACATGAAGCTGTTTTTAAGCAAACTTTTTTTTTTATGTATGTGTTGTGATTTTCTGTAGGACTTACACAATTACTAGTTGACCCACCTAGCTGGTTTGGGTTTTTTCTTTACCTACAAAGTGTTGCATAAATTTATTAATTTTAGAGAATTCTGCCTTGTGACTATGATACACCAAAAGGGGAATGTGCAGCTCTAAAAATATTTTTTGTTAAAATTAATTCATAACTTGTCTCATCCTATAACTATTCTTTTTGAAGACTAGGTGTATAGCAAATGAAAATTCAGTAGATTTTTTTTTTTTAAGATTTTATTTATTTATTTGAGAGAGAGACAGAAACAGCATGAGAGGGGAGAGGGTCAGAGGGAGAAGCAGACTCCCCACTGAGCCGGGAGCCCAATGTCGGACTCGATCCCAGGACTCCGGGATCATGACCCGAGCCAAAGGCAGTCGCTTAACCAACTGAGCCACCCAGGCGCCCAAATTCAGTAGATTTTTATTCTTATTAAAATATCACATATTTTAAATAAATTCAAAGGATAGAGAGTGACAGAATGTGACAATTTTTTGAGCTTATAGATAATAAAAGAAGATGCCATTTCCTTTCATATCGGAGTTCATAGGCTTGCTTGGAGTGCAGTGTAGATCCCTAGTTGATACTCTGGTTCCTTACATTTGTGGGACCTCTACCTCCTCTTCTGCTTCCCTCTATTTGCTCCGGCCACACTGGCTTTTTGCTGTTTCTGGAACAATAGGAACTTTCCTACCTCAGGGCCTTTACATTTACTTTTTTTTCTGCCTGAAATTTTCTTCCTTTGGATATCTTTTTTATCTAAGTGTTTCACCTCCTTCAAGTCATTCGCTCAGTCTTACCCTCTCAACGAAGTGTACTTTGACCAACTTAATTAACACTGCAACTTGCCCTCCACCCCAGCACTACTGGTCTCTCTTGTCCTGTTCTTTTTCCCTCCATAGTAATCATCATGTTCTAACCTACTTTATAATTCTGTTTATTTATGTATGTGTTGTTTATTTTTATTTAGAATCATAAGCTCGCTGGGGCAGGGATTTTTGTCTGTTTTATTTACTGATGTATGCCCTGTGCCTAGAAAGTGCCTGGAAGATAATGCTACTCAGAGAATTGAATTTGCCAAGTGGGGTCTGTAATGGTTGCCTCAGAAGTAAAAGAACTAGTGCTGGCTTGAGGTGGGTTTGCATGGTAGAAAATAAGTAGCAGAGCACAGCAGCCTTTACCTCGGTTACTTGGGTTCCCATGCTTCCCCACACCTCGGTGAAAAGAGGTAAGTTTTCCAAGAAGATATAGTATCTTTCTGGGATTCTGGAGTTTATGTCCAAGTTTAAATACTACACAAGAATGAATAAAGTACCATTTCACTTTGTAGGAAGACCTGCTTTAAGAAGGAATACTTGTCCTGTTGTTTTAATCTCATAGGGGATCAGTTACTTCAAGGTTCTCAATATTTAAAAAACTGATTTTAAAATACAGTATAAATATACAGTCAGATCTGAGACTGAGTGAAAGAAAAAAGCAATAGAAATGGAGATTCTGTTGTTTCAGACACTCGGAAATGTGTCTATAGAAATTTAAAGTTGACAAGTGCTGAAATTTTATTGTGTGCTCGACTAGCTCAGGATACACAAGGGAAGACCATAATGAGGCTTCCTGTGGTGAATTTCCCCTAGTCCAGAGCCTTATTTGCTTAGAAGTCTGATCTTACAGATAAATCAGGATCAGAAGCATCCTTCAAAGCCAGACTCTTTTTTTTTTTTTTTTAAGATTTTATTTATTTATTTGCGAGAGAGAGAATGAGAGACAGAGAGCATGAGAGGGAGGAGGGTCAGAGGGAGAAGCAGACTCCCTGCCGAGCAGGGAGCCTGATGCGGGACTCGATCCTGGGACTCCAGGATCTTGACCTGAGCCGAAGGCAGTCGCTTAACCAACTGAGCCACCCAGGCGCCCTCAAAGCCAGACTCTTTAGTGAAGCTCATTTGACTTATGTTATGAAACCACTAGTTTTGTTACTTTCCCTTGAGGAAAACTCTTCCCTAGACCAGAACACTCAGTATTAGCAAGCCTGGTATATTATCTTTGTATCTTCCTGTGGACAGACTTCTGTGGAACCCTGTCGGTTTTTTAGTGAGCATGGAATTAGAGAGGGAGGAGCTGACTAGACAATTGAGATGCTTGCTTGGCTCAGGTAAAGAAAGGATAGTCTGAGAACTTCATCCCCGTGATAGGAACGGTCTGCTGGTGGGACGGGAGTTCCGGTAGTGTACTTGCTGAGGCTTCCTCTTCCCTCACAAGTTGTGGATGGGTCCCACCATGCCGTCAGGCTCCCTGCTGACCAGTCCTCACTCCTTGTGGTAGATACATGGTTTGTGTGTGGTCAGTCTTACAGTGCTGGGGTTGCTGGTCTCTTTTGTCTTCCCTGCTCTGGAATATCGATACTGTTTCTTGATTTTAACACTAATAGAATTTTTATTTCCAAGCTTTTAGAGTAACCTCACTGTAATCCTTAACTATTGACAACAGCATACATTTTTAAAAGTGTATTAGTAACTGGTAAGTTGCTACTAAAAATGGTATTTTTTCTGACTTAGACAAATAGTGGCTACTGATTGCAGAGGTAGCCTTCTTACCTCCTTTTCTTTCCTGAGACCATCAGAAGGCTGATTCTAAGCTAGTCAGTGATGTCTGTGCAACTGTTAATAGAATAAAATGGACTAGACCTATGGCATTTCCCTTTATAAAGATTGCTGATCTCGGGCGCCTGGGTGGCTCAGATGGTTAAGCATCTGCCTTCGGCTCAGGTCATGATCCCAGGGTCCTGGGATCAAGTCCCTCATTGGGCTCCCTGCTCAACGGGGAGCCTGCTTCTCCCTCTCCTTCTCCTGCTCCCGCTCCCCTGCTTGTGCTCTCTCACTCTCTCTGTCAAATAAATAAAATCTTAAAAAAAAAAAAAAGATTGCTGATCTCTCATTGTAGAGCTTTTTTTAAAAGTAATCTCTGCGCCCAGTGTGGGTCTTGAACTCACGACCCCAAGATCAGGAGTTGTGTGCTCTACTGACTGAGCCAGCCAGACGCCCCTAATTGTAGAGCCTTTTTTTTTTTTTTT